GTAGGTGGCTTTATGCTTGTTTGTGTTAAAATTTAGTTGTGAATCTCAGGATGGAAGTGAAAATGGCACGTGATTATTTTACTTTTAGACTGAAGTCAAACAAAGTACTGAATTATATCAGGCAAGTTTTTCCTTCATTCCTGCTATACGTTTTTTCAACATACTTCACTGATAAGCTTCTTCAGTTTCCCATTTTGATTCTATAGTGAGAAGATGCTGTTGAATAAGGCTGGTTGCAATTGCTGCTTACACAAGTTATATCCAACCAAAGATTGACTGTAGAGTGACAAAGTGTCAGCTAAAATGACAGACAAATGTAGCTTGGATTCTAAGCCCTGGTTGCAGGGAGCAGTAAGGAGTGCCCTAGTACTCCAATGGAGGAGAAGGCCATAGTGTATAAGATGAGCCATGTCATGGGGAGGAAGGACATCAGTTACTGGACAGAAGATGACTGGCAGGGTCCTCACTTAACTTCAGCTTTCAATAACATACCTTCAAGAGGATCCTCTTGGAACAAGAAAAGCTTCAGGACAGAAAGCTTCCTCAGAAACCAGGTATAGCAAAATAGGACCACTGTTCTGAGCAGTGAAATGTGTTTGTGAAAAGCTATCACAAAGCAGGAGGGACAGAGCAATGCTCTAGTAGGAAGATCACAGCCTTAGCTGCAGGGAAGGTACTGCCTTGATGCTGCTTTTGTGTTGTAGCTGAAATAATGATTATATTTGGAAGAGACATCCATCAGGAAACAGATGTCAGTGATTAACCACATCTCCAGGATGAGGGGGTCTGGACTACCAAGAGCTGAAGGCGGATGCCATTATAGGAAGTGGATTTATAACTGGAACAAGTCCGTAAAATGGAGTAGTCGGAGTCACAGGGACAAAAGGGTTAAGGGAGTAAGGGCCTCATTTTGTGGGTGAGAAGGGGGTCATTGGAGTGTCATAGCCAGCTTAAAATCATAAAAGGCAAGTCTTAGAGTCAGGCACTTTTGGCCACCACATGAATAAATTAGTCATTTTAGCAGTTTTCTGAAAGAACACTGCTTTTTAGGAAGTTACAGGCAATTTCTGAGGATGTTTTGGGTCTTGAAAATCAGAAAATGATGCATATTCATGCTGAAATTAAGCTATTTCATCTGTGTCCTGTCAAATTAAACATAAGGTGGTATTTTTCATCCTTGAAACTTGACAAATTGGTATTTTGGAACAAAATGTGGAGCAAAAAATATGTAGCATAATAAATCTCTTTTAGAGTCTTTGCTTTTATTGAAATAAATGGTTATCTAAATTCTGGATGGTTTTTAGGCAGAAGAAGTAAATATTTGTTTCTGAGGAGGCAGCTATATTTGAGATTTGCTTTTCTACTCTTACTCTAAAATACTGAGTGTTTCTGATAAAGAAAAGGGCCTAGTGTTTACCTTCATAAACTTGTGGAGGATTTATTAAAAAAAAAAATAAAGTGAATAATTATTGATTCCAATAACTTGAAGAATTTTTGGCTCATTTCTCATTTTACATTAGTGGAACAAAGGAAAGTTCGAAGTCCTGCACCTGGGAGAGAATAATTTCATGCTGGGGGCCAAGCAGCTGGAAAAGCAGTCTAGGAGCAGCAGACTCCCTAGAAGGAGAGTTTCCAGCACATTGAGGGAGGCGATCCTTCCCCTCCTCTCAGCACTGAGATCAAACCTGGAATGCTGGGTCCAGTTCTGGGCTCCCCAGTACAAGAGAGACGTGGACATACTGGTGAGAGTCCAATGAAAGGCCATGAAAATACCGTAGGAACACATCTCCTGTGAGGAGAAGCTGAGACTGTTCAGCCTGGAGATGCAGGGGATCTTTTTGATTGTATACAGATGCCTGAAAGGCGAAGAGAACAGAGCCAGGATTTTCAAAGATGTCCAGTGCCAGGATCAGAACAAGAGGCAGCGGGCGTAAACCAAAACATGGGAGGCTGCCTCTGAACATCAGGATATAAGATTTTACTGTGCAGATAATGCTTTATGGACTGGGCATAAGTTTCTCAGAGAGGCTGTGGAGTCTCCTCCTTGGAGATGTTCAAAAGCTGCCTAGATGTTGTCCTGTGAAGCTATCTGTAGATGATCCTGCTTAAGTAGGGGAGTTAGACAAGGTGACCTCCAGAGGTTCATTCCAATGTTATCTGTTGTGATTCTGAGACTGGATTTCATGTAGGTATCAAACCATTGGAGCGTACCTTTGCAAGTGAGAATAAAGCATCATCTAATTAAGGCATACATGCTCAGTTACTCATATCTGATACTGTTTTAATATTCGTGTATTTTGGGAGAGAGATAGGCAGTATTTGGGCTTTTGCCTTCTCTCCCCTCAGTTTTTATTTGATTGTTTTTTGTTTGAATTCACTGGTTATATCCTATTTCCAGCTGAATTGCAAAGCCTCGAGGGCCCACGATGCATATTCTCTTCCTGCTGACAGCTAGTAGGGACTTTTCAATGTCCATCACGTGTTACCACATTTGGAGAAAACTGCTAGTATTGGAGAAGCAGCTGTTACATTCTTTGTGCTGCCAGTTTTGTTGCATTTTTCTATTTGAGTACAAGCAGTGCTGTTGTCAAACTTGAGGGCTTGTGGTGGTATCTCTGACAGGGAAAGACCCATCCTATGCTTTACTTCTTGCTTTCTGTTCGACTGTGGACGAGTCATCTAGTCTGTGTTCCCCAGCTGACAGCTGGGAAGCATAAATCTCTACCCTATAGGTGAGGTGAGTTGTGAAGGTCATAATGAGACACCTGGTGATATGCAGTCTATAAGTATATGCCATTTAATACTCTGTTTATCAGTGTCGTGGGAATATCTGTGACCTCCAAGTGGGATGAAAGCCTCACCTTGTTGAGCATGTCCAACAAGAGAGCTGGTCCCTAGGAAGTGAAGCCACAGATCCTAACTCTTGTCCCCTGCCGGTGCTGCCTTGGCAAAATAGCAAAAGTTGCAAGTGTTTGGATGTTGATCAATTTGTCCTGGGATGCCTCAGAATGAAATTGACTTCACATGTGTAATTGAAAAGGTAAAACAAATCAACCAGCTGAGCAGCCATTCAGAGAAAGGAAATAAAATGCATCTTTCTCTTCTCTTACATATGCTTATGTTGCTTTGCTATAATGATGCCACCTGCTTCCTCTTAGGTGAATAACAATCTTCTATTTGCAGAGGTTTTTTTCTTAAACATATTCCAGTTCAGGAAGAGCATATTCTTATGCTTTCAGTTTAAAAAAAATATATATATATAAAAATCCTTAAATTCAAGACTTACATATGTGGACAATCTGTCTGTCAATATACACCAGATGTGTTGACTGTAAAGTTGATTTAGTATTCTGCAGCCATATTTTCTCATGAGGCAAACTAATGAGAAAGGAAAATAGATAAGGGAAATGTCAAGGAGAATTGCAGTGAAAATTTAGATTGTTTTTGCAGACAGGTAAATAGAAATGGGGATAAAATGCAGAAACTAATTCTGCCACAATTGCTTCTGCTGTACAATACTACGTACTTTAAAAAACAAAATTTGGGAAGGGAAAAAAAAAAACCTTCATTGTAGACACCTGTATTTCCATCAAATCTGTAGCTAAACATTCCTACACTATGCCTGGCCAGAGAGTTAATCACAAACATGACTTGTAGCAAATATATGTCATTATCAAGTATATTCTAGTTGGTTTATGATGGGCATCTGCAAAAACTTGCACAGTTTTAAAGAACCTGTTGTTGGAACAAAACTTCTTATTGCTGAAATACAAACACTGTGGAAAATAGTGACATTTTCAATGATGGAAATGTTACTGTTGCAAGGCTTTGCATGCTGACTGATGTCTAAGTTCATTTATCAATAATCATTCAAATTAAATTGTCCATTCAGATAGCATGTGCTGAAATAGGTTGTTGCCAAAAAATTACACAGTTCAACTCATCAGTTTATTTTTTTCTGAATCACAGAGTTACATGATTTGGTTTGGATTTGAAGGGACCTTAAAGATCATGTTGTTTCAAACATCCATGCCATGTACAGACATAGCTGTCACTAGCCTAGGTTACCCAAAGCCCCATCCTGCCTGACCTTGAGCACCTTCAAGGGTTGGGCATCAACAGCTTCCCTAAGCAATCTTGCCAAGTGAAAAATTTATTCTTTATATCTATACTAAACCTACCCTATCTCTGCTTTAAGCTGCTACTCCTTGTCCTGTCACTATATGCCCTTGAAAAAGTCCCTCCCTGTCTTTTCTGTGGGCCCCTTTAGGCATTGCAATGCTGCTATAAGGTCTCCCTGGAGCCTTCTTTCCTCCAGTCTGAATAACTCCAGTTCCCTCAGCCTGTCCTCTTAGGATAGGTGGTCCAGCCCTCTTAGTATCCTTGTGGCCCTTTTCTGGACACACACCAACAGCAACATGTCCTTGTTGTGCAGGGGTCCAGGAGCTGAATGCAGTGCTGAAGCTGGGGTCTTATAAGAGCAGAGTAGAGGAGAACAATCCACTCCATTGCCCTGCTGGTCACACTGCTTTTTATTTAGCTCAGGACCTGGTTGACCCCAGTACCAATCCCTGAGGGATGTTACTAGTCACTGGTTTCCACGTGGACATCAAGCTGTTGACCACAATGCTTCGAGTGCTACCATCCAGCCCGTTCCTTAATCCTTGCCTGGCCCATCCATCAGAGCTGAGTTTCTCCGAGAAGGATGTTGTGCAGCACAGCATCAAATGCTTGGCAGAAAGCCACATGTTGTTAGTTGCTCTTCCCTTTTTCATCAATGCTGAAAACAAAGGCTACTCAATTTTTTGGGCATGATTTGCCCTTCTTGAGTCCATGCTGGCTGTCACCAATCGCTTGTTTTTCATGTACCTTAGCACAATTTCCAGAAGAATCTGTTCCATGATCTTGTCTGTTATAGAGGTGAGATTAACTGATCTGTAGTTCTCTAGGTCTTCCTTTTTTCTGTTTTTAAAAGTGGGGTTATGTTTCCTCTTTTCCAGTCAGTGGGAGCTTCACTGGACTGCCATGGCTACTCTGTTATGACAAGTAGTGGCACGGCAACTTCATCTGCCATTTCCCTCTGGACCCTTAGATGCATCTTATCTGATCCCATGGACTTGTTCTCTTTCAAGCTTGAGACCATCTAAGGTATTTGATCTTCTACAGTGTGATGTTTTTCCTTCTCCCAGTCCCCACCTTTGCCTGCTGTGGCTTCAGTGACACAACTAGAGCAGTCAGATAGTTCACCAGCTATGCAAGGCAAATGGTCAACTCCTGCTGCATTTGGTCCCTGCTCCTCCTGACTTAAGCTTAAGTTAAAAAATACATGAGAGTAGTAGATAACCAGTTGCCTACTCCATACATGGATACATAGATGATCAGATGGGAACAAAGAACAGATGTTCCCTAAACATATGTGCAAATAAAAAATAGTAAGTGCGAATGTTTATGAGCAATGTGTATAACAGGAGAACTGAGCAAAGTATCATTTCAGGATGTAAGCAAGTGTTTTGTGGACTGCTTTGGAAATTTTCAGCTACCTCTAAGCACGACACATTAATAAAATAAAAGGATTTGGGGATTCTTTGGAACTCTGAGCCATGAGCACATTCATCTAAATTTCCTCAGTCTTTTCTGAACAAAAATAAGATGGTTAAGTGGATAACATGCAAGGCTATCCATCCATTTGCACCTAGGCCTTTTTTATATTGTTGAATTTATAATGCATGCAATGCATTAACTTTCCTTTCCAGATTCCTTCAGTGCTAAGTTTTGTGGCTCACTTTTAGTTACCTTACCATTTAGGATTTTGGGTTTTCTCAAAGTGAGCTTCAAAATAACTAATCAAAAACTAAGCTGTTGCACTATTGTTATAATTTCCTTCCTTCAAAAGATCTGGCTTTATTTGACTCCAACTTTCTCTTACCCCACTTTCAGGTTCTCACATCGTACTGCCTTTGATTTCAGGGCAGATCTACAACATCCTGCAGAAGAAAATTAGGTTGAAGACAAGTCTGTAATTGTGAAGATATTTTTCCACTCTCTGACAGGTTACTCATTAGCAATATTATGAATAGGAGATAGGTTGTTAAGCTTGGATTAAATGTCTTAAATCATTACGCTCTATCTTATTTCATTGTTGAATGGGATTTAAAAAAAAAAAAAAGGCTGTAAGTTTTCCTAAGAAAAGGTACAAGATAGATATAAAATTTTAAAATAAAGGTTTTTTTCCTTTAAACACAATTGTGTTTTCATGGTTGAGATATAGATCTTGTTTGCAGTCATGCAACTTCAATTTCAGAGATGTGTTTTTATACTAAGTATACAGAAAAAGCAGACCTGGAGGATGTTGTTTTCTCAGAATATACTCGTCTAAAGTTCCATGAAAAATTACTTTTTTTCTTTTTTGAAAGATTTTTTGGGCTAGGAGGGAGTGAGAGATGTGTGTTAAAATACATACTGTTCTCTGGATCCTTTCATACAATTATAGTTCCATTTCAGAGAAATCCCAGGTACCGTGCAAAACAGGAACATTTACTAGGGTTTTTTTTTTGTATGTACTGATTGAAAATATATTTCACCCTTAAGGAAATGCACATATAATATGTTTTGTAACCATTGGTAGCAAATTCATCTTAAAAAAAAATATATATATATATATATTACTTACACATATAAATTTTTACATTTAAACAGGAACTGTGCTTCCTATGGTTGAATGCACCGGGGCTTTTTTTCACACCAACAAAGCAAAGGTGAAAGCTGTAAAATATCTGCACTCTTACTTGGCACTGAATCAGCACTGATTTACAAGGATGTTCATGTTACTGTTACTGAATTATATTTGTACTACTTTGCTTTAATTTAAATGTGTTCCGGACCAGTTAAGTGGAAGGGCTTAATAGGTGTTTAGTGTTTAATAGAGACGATCATTAATTTTATTTTTGCCTATTAGTACAAACGGGTAGAAAATGGTTTTCCTCCACTTCTAGAGCTTTTTAGATTTAGCAAGAATGTTCCTGTGTCATATGAGCAAAAGGTTATGCAGTCTCTGGTGGAGTTTTCAAATGTGCCTGTGTGCCCTCATACAGGCACAGTCCTTGTAAGAAAAGGTAAAATTTTTGCATTATAGTTTAGTGTGGAAGATACTCAATGAATAATACAATGGGGGAATGGGCTGAATTTAGGTAATTTGTGTCTATAGTGCTAAGTACTGTGGCATGGCTTTCTCTCTTGTCTGCTCAGGAGTTCTGTACTGTATCTGATGGCTTCTACCTGAGAAATGTTTAATCAGTCATACTGGGAAAGGTTTCATTTCTGTGAATCCATGAATCGCTGAGAAAGCATTCGGTTGAAAGAAATCTCAATCATTTCCACTTAGTCATTGCTTCTGGTGTTGGTGTTAATTTTCTTCTTGCATCTTCCCTTCTTTGAACCCTCTTCTCTCAAAATATATTTGCAAAGATGGTTGCTTTCAGATAAATCTGTTAAAATTTTAACAGCAGTGATTCTTTGAACATCTGGCACAACATCTGGGTTTGGAGTCCTGAGAATAATGAGCACCCTCCCTTCTGTCTTCCTCATTTATATTTGAAAAGCAAAACGGGCATCTTGCGGGTTTTCTGCTGCCTCTGTTAGACTATAATGAGCAAGGGGCTGCAGGAGAGGAGCCTTCCTAGGTGTGCACAGCCTCAAAGGTGACAGTGCAGTGGGCAAGCAGATCCTGTGATGCTGGGTGCTCCCTTTGCCTCTGCAGCAGCTCAATTTTCTGCCATTACTCAGCTTCTCTCTTTCATTGTCTTGTTTCCTTGTGGGTTTTCCAGCTGCTTTTCCCTATCCCCACAATTGCAGTTGACTCTCGTGCTCAAATTCAGCTGCTTTTGCAACACCAAATTGCCTCTGATTCTATAACTTGTGGCTTCAGGCTCCTTTCTCTGCTTTTTCTTCCAACTTCTCCTGCTGTGCAGCTACAGGACATGCACAGGAAGGTCCACATTGCCAGATGTGACAAAGCAGAGTTTGTCCCAGCAGAATTTTTTTGTCCTGGTTGCACTGAATGCGCTGTGCGTTTTGTTTCCAGCTCTTCTGGCTGGGCAGGGTTTTGCATTGCGTGCTTTAATGAACTCACTGAAAGCTTCAGGCTGGTTGGTTCATCATAGATCACTGAGCTAACTTTTTGGTCATTACTTCTCAGCAGACAGTGCCACGCTGTCCAAAACTGATGATGATTGCTTTTCCAAGCTCAACATTCAAATCTACTTGGATGAACCAAGCAAAAATTTGTTTCTAAATAGCAACAGCTTTATATCTGAGAAAACTGTTAGGAGGCTGAGCCCTAGGAAAGGGCTTGAATGCACTGGTGCTACAAAGCACCTCTCTGTAGAAGCTGAATCACCTTTAAACCACACAAAGGCAAAGCTAGGGCAATAGTTTATTTACTAAGTGGGTAAAAATTACGCAGACTTATAGAGGCACAAAGGATGCAAACAGGTTTTCTTTTTTCCATTTTTAGAAGGACTCTAGCATTTCATCCCACACTCAGATGACAAGGCAACGGATGTTTACATCCTCTCACTTAAGGATCTTGTTCTTAAGAACCATTCCTGCATTTGTGGGAAAGGAGTTTGAGCTGGGGGCACGGGTACTTCAGACCTTCTCAATTGCAGGCCCTCCTCCCTTGTTTGGAAATGCTACAGGCAAAGCAAGGGCGGTCATGGCATGCACTTAGTTAAACTACTAGTGAGCAGTACCTTACGCAGGGATAAAGCAGCCTTGTCTGCCTGGTGAAGCAATAAGCAGGTCCCACCGAGGAGCCTTTCCACACACTGAGCACTGCATTTCACATCCGTCTGTGAACTGACAGCCATCCTCTGTGTTTATGTGCATGGCTAACGCATCCTCATGGTACCACAGCATTGCCCATTTTTGAATGACCACTGCCACACGTTCCCACAAAGAAAAAAGGGCAAAACTAGAAGACTTCTATGCACATCTTCTTAAAAACATCTCTGTTGTGATGCCAGCAAATAACCTGACAGTTCTGGTGTCTTGTGGCCACTGCTTATTCTGATGTTCATAGTTCCCTTGTGCTTTCACCATCTGTTTGACATTTGTTTGTAGGCTGTTAAATTTAATGGTGGGCTTGTTTTGGGTGCCAACATTTTCACTGCTGTTTCTGTACGGTTCATAGCCACAGCAGGGATCCAGGTACTAACACAGGGATATTCAGGGACACATTTTTTTCTTCACACTTCAGATTAAGACATCCACCTGTGTTATGTTCCAAGAATTAAGTTCCTCCCTCCTCTTGCCATCTACATTGCAATCAGTGACTTAAAGGTTAAAAATATAAATGCTTTTTAGATAGCTTACCTGCCTGCTGCTCTGCCCAAGTCTAATACTAAGCTGAAGCCACTTTTTTTCGTGATAACTGTGTCATCACTTGGTGGAGATACAGCGAGTGCACTGAACACATTAACATCACATCTGCCATACATAGCTGGCACATCTTGCTATGCTGGGATGAATTGCAGTGCATGTGGATGGTATTTACCGCTGAGCAGATAGGAAAAGAGAGGGGGATGAGTGGACAGAAATTTGTTAGCTCTCCGGCTTTCAAAGCCAATGACTTTAAGACCAGTAATTCTACTGCCTTCCTCTGTCTTCCAGAATCCTGTTGACAACAGCAGTGAAAAGAGTGAATGGAGCCTTGGCATTGTTAGAGAGCTGCACTAATGCATGTATTATGAAAACGAGTAAACTAGTAAGGAAGCTGCCTTAGTTAATCTGGTAGAAGTTAAACACAGATACAGGGTGGGGGGAGAAGGGCTTGAGAGCAGCCCTGAGGAGAAGAATTTGTGGGCGTTGGTTGATGGAAGACTCAATGTGAGCCAGCAATGTGCGCTTGCAGCACAGAAGGCCAACTGTGTCCTACATTGCATCAAAAGAAGCATGACCAACAGTTTGAGGGAGGTAATTCTATTCGTCTGCACTTGTGAAAACCCACCTGGAGTAATGCATACAGTTCTGTGGTCCCCAACACAAGAAGGACATTGAGCTGTTGCAGTGGGTCCATAGGAGGGCTGTGAGGATGATCAGAGGGCTGGAGCACCTCCCCTGTGATGATGGGCTGAGAGAGCTGGGGCTGTTCAGCCTGGAGAAGAGAAGGCTCCAGGGGGCCTTCCAGTACCTGAAGGGGGCCTACAGGAAAGCTGGGGAGGGACATAAAAAGGTCATGCAGCAACAAGACAAAGGGAAATGGCTTTAAACTGGAAGAGGGTAGATTTAGACTAGATATTAGAAAGAAATTCTTTACTGTGAGGGTGGTGAGACACTGGAAGAGGTTGCCCAGAGAGCGTGTGGATGCTCCCATATCTGGAGGCGTTCAAGGCCATGCTGGATGAGGCTTTGAGCAACCTGATCTAGTGGTGAGAGGTGTCCTTGCCTATAGCAGGGGGTTGGAATTCGATGATCATCTTAAAGGTCCCTTCCAACCCAGATCTTTATGTGATTCTTTGATTCTGCAATTCTATGATTAAGTGTGAATCAAACGCTGCTCCCACTTGACCTCCTGTTGTCACCTTGCCTCCATGTTTTAAATATCTGAGGACCATTTTGTATTGCACGTGTATTTCATCAGAAGCAAGCTTGTTTTGGGCTTTGGGAAGCCAAAACCACAGGCTGTGCTGGGCCCTCTTCAGCAGCTCGATCCTTATGGAGCTTCTCTTTGGAGACACATCCTTGGAGAGCTCAGAGACCTCTGCCCTGGGAGTATCTCCAGCCTCACATTGCCTGGGGCCAAGGCCAGCTCCTATCCGTGGACTTTGTTCATGCACCTCTCATGTGCAGCAATCTCCATCACAGATGCTAGCCAGCTTGCTTCATGCTTCAAAGGCTGCTGTCTTCATACGGCTCTTCCTGCATAGTCTTGGACAGGAAAAACCACACATTCTGCAAATGAGCCCTCACATAGCATTTTCAGAGTCTAGCCCTTGGAGAAAATAGCAGGCAAGCATTCCCTGTTGAGGTTGTGGCTGCATTTCTTTAACGTCCTCTAATAATAATCAATAAGTGCTAGCTATTCCTAAGTGAGAAGCAATGTGAAGAAAGGGGTGAAAATATCATTGTTTGCTAGCGCAGATTTACTCAACACTGGAACTGTAAATGTGAATTGATTACTTCTCTTTTTGCTTAGTGTGAGACTACTTCAAGTTTCCCAGCAGATACGATGTATTTTAT